ATTACAATTATCAACGATTCTTGAAACCCTGTAGTCCTGCGCACAACTTAGGGGATTACAATTATCAACGATTCTTGAAACCCTGTAGTCCTGCGCACAACTTAGGGGATTACAATTATCAACGATTCTTGAAACCTGTAGTCCTGCGCACAACTTAGGGGATTACAATTATCAACGATTCTTGAAACCTGTAGTCCTGCGCACAACTTAGGGGATTCAATTATCAACGATTCTTGAAACCTGTAGTCCTGCGCACAACTTAGGGGATTCAATTATCAACGATTTTTCTATATGGATACCATAGAAAAAAAAACTAGTAACTTATGACTGAGATATCTGAATGTTTAGTGTATATAGCAACAACATTATTCACACTTATTAAGTTGATTAAGGAATACAGAAATACGCTCTTGATTAATGTAATTTGTAAACGGAAACGAGTTTTATGACAGTGCTCTAAAATAAAGAGAGAGAGAGAGAGAGATGTATTTCAAAATTATTGCTAAGAAATTCAAGTTAATAAAACAAACACTATTCTTAAATATTCATAATTATTTGTTATGTAATATTAGAAAGAAGAGCCTTCAAAGTTAATTTAGGATATTACTTTGTTTGTTTTTTTTTAGTTCAAGAAGATTTGTTTATTTTAGAATTTTTGCACAAAGCTAATTAAGAGTACCCACCGCATACTCTTCGGCCGCTCATTCCTAACCGAATAATGGAACTTGGTCATGCTCTTATAGTTCAATTACAGCCCCAAAGTGCGAAGCGCGTTTTTTTTGGCAGAGGGACGTGAACCATAAATCCTCTTTTTAACAGTCCAACTATGTCCGACCCTAATTTAAAAAGAAGTTTATGGTAATCTTTGATATAAAAAGGCAATTATAATTGTAGTAGCCATTTATGATGGTTATTATTTTAGAAAATACCGTCCGTGGCTCAGTGACAAACTAGAGGGAGTATAACGCTAAAAATCGGGTTTCGATATCCTTGGTGGGCAGAGTACAGATAGCCCGTTTTGCGGTTTTGTGTTTAACAACGAAAAAAACTTTAGAAAATAGTAGCTATAATGCTCTTAGTGTAGCTAATTACAATAAAGGTAGTTTTATATTCTTCTTAGCTTTACCTACTGAAATGTAGTTCGAAAGTTCACACTTCCTCTCGTTATTGAGCTCGTATATATTTAAAAGAGAAAAGCTTGTGGTTATATTTCACACTGAATTTGTTATCTAAATTTTATTTGTATCTGGATAATCTTTAAATATAAAATGAGTTTATGTAATAAGCTCTTAAAATATTTTTACTTAATGAGTATCAATCCCAATTATTCTGGAATATCACATTATACTAAGCCTTTTATTTTGTCTTCTGTGAATCAAGACTCGATAAGAGATTAACTTTGTGTACAGAATTGCTTGGTAATGAGTTTTCATTTCAAAATGTTAAAGAAGCCTTTATCAAAACGTTTCACTGAAGCCCTAATGTTTTGAGCAAAAAAAATAACACTTATCTTTCTTATAAATAATCTATTGGTTAAAATTATGCCTAAAATTTGTGATAAAAATCAACTTAGCTGCAGATGTCCTTTTCCCAATTAATTTTAATTTGTCCATTGCATATTCAAAATCAGAAGCGTGTAAGAATAGCCATTATTTACATATTCTGTGGTTTGTTTGTTGTTTTTTTTTTTTTATTCCTGTAAACTCCCAG